TGAGCCGAGATCGAACCACTTCACTCCAGCCTGGGCAGCAGAGTGAAACTTGGCCTCCAAAAAAAAAAAAAAGGTAAAAGCAAAAACAAAAAACAACTATGTCATTTATAGAAAGTTTTGTTTTCATGGTATAGGGGTGAAAGAGCAGGCCTAAGCCTTTGCAATTACTTTGATTCTCTGATGTCTCAATTTCCTTTGTTAAGTGGCAAACAAATAGGTTATACTTGACTTCGGTGGCAGTTTCCAACACAAAATAAGTCTTGAAGCTGAATAATAATAGTAATATAACCACCCTATATTTAAGGCTTCAACTTTGGGAGCTCAGTCTAGAAGTGTGTGTCATGGACATAGTTTTCTTAAATGGGCATTTGACTTGCTGTACACATTTAATACTTGAGAATGTATTATTACTATAGGGAATTCAGTCACATTCAGCTAGACAGCCTCTTAAGATTTTCAATTTAGAAGGATTTCCTGAACATTCCTGAAGCTGAATGGCAGCTGCTGTGCTATGTTAATTTTGAAAAATAGAATCTAATTGGTTTCACAGATAAATAGGGCATTTATTATTGGATGACAGCAACTCTGAAAGGACTGTCCACAGAGGTTTTGATGACATTTCACAACCTGCTGATTTGGAGAGGTCATCAAGAAAACATAATTCTCCAGGGCCATGAGGTGGGGTGGTGTAATCTTCACTTCATAAGCCTACATCTGAACATTTCTTCATGATCTCTCCTGCAAACACCCAGCTCCTTTGAGGCTTATGGTACTTCACTGTACCAAGGACAGGGACACCTCTCCCTGTCCTTACTGCTGTCCTCACTGCTGTCCTCTACTGACTTCTAGTTTATTCCTTATGACTGCAGACTCTGGCTCCCAGTATTCACACAGTTGTCTTCTGTAACCCAATAGTTGTCATGTTTTTCCTGGACTTTATCACTCAAGTGGATGAACCAGTCAATGTCAGGGGCTCTTATTTTATTGACTTATTCACTGGAGGTAATGAATTTTTGCCTCTACCCCACCTCAGTCACTCACTTCCTGAAATCTCCAAGCACTATCTCTTGGACTTCCAATAACCTTAGTTTAAATATTCACATTGATAACTCTAAATAGCAAAAGAAATCCGATCCACTGACCTCTACCTCTCTAACTGCTTAATATCTTCCACTCCGTTAGCATGCTCTGGTTTCTCTTTAAACTCAGACTAGATTTATAGTCACTCCCTTGAAAAGATCCTTAACTTTCTTACTGTCCATCATATCTCCTTGGCAAAACTCTAGTCCTGGAAGAACCCAGCTATCCATTTTCTCTGTCTCTGTATCCACATTGGTGAAGGTTACTGGAGAAAAAAACCAGAAAACTGAGCTCATTAGTTTCACCTTAAATTCACAATGATCAGTTTGACCTATCAAAGACCAGTCTATCCACTTAGGTCCTGGAGGGCCTCCCTTTTTGCATCCCAAGAGCCCCATATAGTTATGACCTGTCTCCATGACATCTCAAACTTCACAGGTTCAAACCTGAACTTTTTCCACCTAGACCTGTTTCCATTTGCCTGGAAATCTGTAAATGGCACCATTACCCACCAGTTGCTCCAATCCAAAAATTGGGAGTCATTCTTGAGTCCTTGCTGTCCCTCACTTTTGACAAAAAATCCTGCACCAACTCCTGTTCTCCAACATATCTCATAAATCCGTCTCCACCAATACCAGGCTAGTCCAGGTGTCCATCATCTCACCTGAACTCTGCAAACATTTCCTAATGGGTCAGCATACTTTCTCTTTTGAACCTTTCCAAACCATCCTCAACAGCAGCTAAGATCATCTTAAAATATAAATCATCATAAAATGTCTCTCATTAAAATCAGTGCTCCTTGTACTTAGAACTACAGCCACCTTCCTGTGACATAAAAGGCCCTGATTGAGTCAGTCCCTGCTTCCCTCTCTAACCTCATCTGTAGATTGTCCACCCACAGCAACCTCTTCTCAAAGAAGAAAAGAACAACCACTTTATGTACCTTGGGAATGTTCCATATGCTGTTCCATCTCGATAGGAGAATAATTCACTCAGCCCTTGTCAAATTTATTTTGTAGTATTTTATATGATTGTTTCTTTACTGTTTACTATTTCCCCCACTGGACAGTAAGCTGGATGAGGGAAGAACCATATTTGTCTTGTCCATCACTGTCTCCACATTGTCTGGCAGTATAACGAAGGATGCAATAAAAATTTTTTGTTATGGAATGCATCGAAAAACGTTAGGACAAAAAGACATGTAAGAATTCTCTAGATCAGACTTCTCTTTTTGTTGAAAGCCTTGAGGGCCCTGAAGGGGTAGGTGATTTATCAATGTTATTGTTATGTTAATGTCTCAGTTACCTCAATGCCAAGGTTTCTGGCCCAGCAGGGATAATGGATCTCCTGATGTCCTATGACCTTTATCAAACCTGCAGTCCTATTCTTTCCCATTTTTGGTGTATCCTCTTTCTCACTTTTATAACTCATTTACAATCCGTTCTTTAAAATTTGTCTTCTGTCCTGTTTTTTCAGTATTAAATACAGTATTAAAATACAACTATGCTCATTGACCACATTTTCCATAGCACCAGTACAATGAAATGTGACTTGAATAAAGCTTTTCATTTCCTTCCTGAACAATTTGCTCAAGTGATCATTCTCGATATTGTCTCATTTCCCCGACAGAGTGACTAGCTAAGAGGCAGAAAGTGCAGCCATCCCAATGGAAGCACATATAGTTACGCTTACGTTCCTAAACACCCTGCAAATTATTTAGGACGGCTGTTTTTGTTGCTGTTGTTGTTTGTTTGTTTTCCATTAAATAGTCTCTAAACTTTAAAGCAACCGAGAGAGACTCGGAGTAAAAAAATTATAGGGTTAAAGAAAGAAAAAAATAAACAGAGATCAATAAAATGAAGAAATAATAAAGAGGAGGAAAAGGATGGGGAGATGGCTTAGAAAACAAAAAAGATGCCAAGCAGCGGGGCTGTTAAAAGGACTAGAATCTAAAGCCGGAGGATGGAGGTGGGGGTGGGGGTGGGGCAGGGGTCTGAATTCTGTTTCTCCTACAGCGATGAGCGATAATTTACCATGACCTGGACTGCCTTTCCACCTAAAAAACTAACTGCCCGAGGAGTAAAAACTGACACCAGTCCTTCTCCACGGGGTAGGAGAGATAATACATGGAAATCTCCTAACAAAAATTATCTTTATCTCTCTGCTCTATTTTCAGAGCAAGATTTTTAGGGCATAATTTTCAACAAGTTTTGGCTGAGGCTGAACACTGGGCTCAAAGATAATTTAGGACAGTCAAACAAGAGGCCAATTACTTTCTAACACAAATGGCCTAAACACACCACGATTACATTACCGGGCAATAAACAAAATGACCGCTAGAAATACCTGTTCGCAAAGCAGCACTGCATAATCTTCAATGAAATGCCCTGCATCAAACCAAAGTGGCAGGGAGACTATGAAAGAAGGGAAAGTAACCTGCCAGTCCTTTCCCGCTGGGACACATCCTACCTGGGAAGTCTCCTGGCCTTCTTTCTCCTGGGCCCAATCTCAGGACTTCTCCGAAGCTCCAGGAGACCAAGAGGAGGAGGAGGAGGAGGAGGAATCAGTGAGACAAACACCCATCACCCTTCTCACTTTCCACCTCAAGGTGCCAGATCAGGGACCCCGCAGCTCAGGGCAGGGACCCCGCAGCTCAGGGCGAACACCCGCAGAGGGCGCGGAATCCGGGAGGATGGATGCAGCGCGTGGCGCCGACTGCATCTCGACCCTCAACTCCGCCGCCGCCGCCTCCTTTCGCGCTCCTCCCCGACCCGCTCACCTCCGCGCCCTCCGCGCCGGGCAGGGGCGAGCCTTGCAGCTCCCCGGGAGAGGCGCCGACTCCCCAAGGGCCCACCCGGGCGCCAGGGCCTAAGGACTGCACCTCCGACTGGTGGCTGCAGGGTGGCTGCCGCGGCGGTCGCGCTCCAGCTGCTTCCCCGCCTCCCCGAGCTAGATCGCGTACAGCCAGGGAGGAGGAGAGAGAGAGGCGCGCGGAGGCCGGGCTGGCAGTGACGCGCCGCTAGGGGCTGCACGCCTGGACGGCGCAGGGCGCCCAGGGCCCCGGGAACACTGACTCCAGTCGATTAAAGCCGAGGAATGCGGGGGAGGAGTCGGGGAGCTTGGAGGGGGCGGGATGTGTGTGGAGGGAGCTGGGGAGGGCCCAGAGCACAGCACCGAGCGGGGACCAGCCGTGAGTGCATGGGGGAGACTTACACACGCGGCTCGGCAGCTTTGCGCGCCCCTCTTTCGCGAGCGGCTGAGTATCCGACCTTTGCCTGGCTTGCCTGCGGGGTTCCTGGTGGTCCTCCAGAGATCTTTCTGAAGCAGCTCTAGAATAGTCAAGCCCATTTTTTGCTCCATTTCTTTCTGTAAAGTAGGGTCACTTTTCCTCTCTAGACGTTACTTTTCTTACGCGACTCCCACCCCAACTCGCGCCACGGGCCCTGGTTCCCACGTCTCCAGTCTTAGTTTCTGTCAAGTCTCGGAGAAACCGCTGTTTTCTTTTGAAGGATTCTTTTGCCTCACCTTTACGCCACCCCGAACGTCTTTTGACTGGACTGTGTCCTTGGAATTAAATGTTCGGAAATGCCCTTTCATGAAAACTCCTTCGGATAGAAGGACCCTCGCAGACCATGGACTGCAGAGATTATTCTGTTGACTTTGACCTTCACTCAGCTGGTGCCGCGCGACACTCTGGTGTGGCGTGAAGGAACGTTAGGCTGGGAGTCACGAGACCTGTGTTCCCGGGAAAGGCATTACCTTCTGGGGCCGCAAAGGCTTTGATTGTTTCAGGGGATTCCCTAGAGCACCTTTGGCTCTGGGTTTCTGTAAATGTTCTCTCTGCAGATTCAAGTCAAGTACCTTTTATCTTTTGTGTAGAAGGTGTCAGTAGAAGCAAGAGATCTTTATTCCCAAATATAAAATCAATTTACCAAAAATTCTGAAATTTCGGGAAATTTTTGTACATAAGTAAAGTACCATTTCAACAAATTAAGTTTAAAAATTATCACTTCTAGGTGGTTTATTAACCAGACCGAAAAAAAAAAAAAACCAACAACGAGAGGGGGTCTTAGATCGATCACTGGGGCACTGCACTTTCCCCTTTGTAGTCCATACACAGAGTAACCTTTGCAACTGCTGCTTTGGAAATACATTCTTTGTTTGACTTAAAATGTAACCCCTCCCTACCGCCAAATATTATTAAGGTTTAAAGTTTAGGCAGAAGCTAAGGTTTTAACGATGTGTCAGGTTGTGGAACCATTGACAGCTGGTGGAATACTTTCCATTTTGGTTACTGGAAACAAGCAATTAAATATAATATCAATTTTGAAAATTTCGCTTCAACAAAAGTGTCAAATAATGAGATTCATGGAGTTTTTTCTAGTAGTTCTGGAGAACTTGTGGAGAAAAATTCATGAATCTTAGTAGTTAACGAAAAGTATATAGCTTTTCCATTTACTTTAAAAAAACATAGTATTATATAACTTCCCCACATGGTTATTAAAAGAAATTGCACTTTCTAACTTCTAAAACCATAAATTATTGTGTAAAACATGTAGGTAAGCCATATATTTTAAATATTTTTAAAAGCTGTCTCAACATGGGCTCTGACTATTGAGAAAAAAAGATAAAGTAATGTGAAATCCGTTTTCCCAAATGAGAATCAATGAGTCAACAGTTTGCAGTTTCCAGAAGTGATATCTCTTTTGCATGCTTGAACTATTAAATAAGCAAATATCTTTGATGGAAAATCCAATGTTACCAAATGTGTTGCAGAAGACTGTTAGTATTGATGCAAAGCATGATTCCTTTAACTTCTTTCCATGGTAACTAGTTTTATCACTGTTTTTCAGTGGGAGTTGCAGAGCATGAAAATGATTTTGCAAGACTTTTCCAGGTCATGAGGTGCTCTCTCAGAAATTTCTTCTGCTCCCTAAAGCGGTAAGTGACTCAACAGAAGTGAAGCAATAATTTATTAAATGGATCTCTAGTGGCCTAGAGCCATTAACACAGTTTTTTCCTTTGAAGTTATTATACAATTAGATAACTTTAGAGTGGTAGTTACCAAAATGTGTGACTTTAGGCACTAGTTTGCCCAAATGCTGCTCTAGCAATTCATTCACTACAAAAATATTTATTGAGCTTCTTCTACATGCCCTGACTGGCACTCTAGAAACAGTGGTGAGGAAGACAGATATATTTACCCGTCCTGATAGAAGCTACGGTTTGGTGAAAACAATAAATTAGTAACAAGTGCAAATACAATTTATACAGAGTTATTTACACAAATAAAATAAATGTAAGTCATGATGTAAATAGTAGATTTTGAGATAAAGAATAAGTGGAATCTCTTCATTTTGGAGATCCACAATGTGTATTAATGAATTAAAGGCTCTGAAAATTCCTATAGTAAAAGGATTTTACTTAAGCTATTACCCAAAACCCCAAATGTGCTTTGATCAAATTTGTTTGTAAGCAGTGCTTTTAATAAAATAGAATGATTTTTGTGAAATGCTGGTTCGTTTTGAAATCAAAGAATTCAATAAACTTAAAATTCTGTTAACATCACCTTACATTTGTCAATGCACATCCATATACTTCAGTAGATTTATATATATGTAAATATAATTTGTTTGAAATAGACTGTGTTTGCACATGTTTATAGCAGGTCAATTCACAATTGCAAAAATATGAAACCAGCCTAAAAGGCCATCGACAGCGAGTGGGTAAAGAAAATGTAGTATATATACACCACGGAATACTACTCAGTCATAAAAAGGAATGAAATAATGGCATTCTCAGCAACCTGGATAGAATTGGAGATGAATTCTAAGTGAAGTAACTCAGAGTGGAAAACTAAATATCATACATTCTCATTCATAAGCTGAAGCTAAGCTATGAGGCCTCAAAGGCATCAGAATGATTTAATGGACTTTGGAGACTTGGGGGAAAGTGGGGTGAGGTATAAAAAACTACATACTGAGTGCAGCATACACTGCTCTGGTGATAGGTACAACAAAATCTCAGAAATTACTACAAACTAATTTATCTGTGTAACAAAAAACTACCTGTTCTCCAGAAACTATTGAAATAAAAAAATAAATTATTTAAGTATGATAAAAAATACACTGAACACAAAATAATATAGAAGCATTTATAAATCCATTAAAATGACTGAACGTACATCTGTACAAAACACATTTATAACTAACATTGTTTCATGAACATATTTCCAGAGATCAACATAGTCTAAAATCTTATAATTCTTTTTTTTAATTTTTATTTATTTATTTATTTATTTTTTAGAGACGGGGTTTCACTATGTTGACCAGGATGCTCTCGATCCCTTGACCTCATGATCCACCCGCCTCGGCCTCCCAAAGTGCTGGGATTATAGGCGTGAGCCACCGCACCCGGCCTAAAATCTTATAATTCTTAATGATATAGTTCATATATTGGTATAGACTAGTTTTTGTTTTCTTTTCTTTCTGTCTTTTTTTAATTTTTTTTTGAGATAGGGTCTCAACTGTTAGCTAAGGCTAGAGTGCAGTGGTTCATTCAAGGCTCACTGCAGCCTTAATCTCTTGAGCTCAAGTGATTCTCCTGCCTCAGCCTCCCAGAAGCTGGACTACAGCCACATGCTGCCACACCTGGCTAATTATGTATTACTTGTAGAGAGGGTAATCTCCCTAGGTTGCCTAGGGTGGTCTTAAACTCCTAGGCTCAAGAGATCCTCCCACCTCACCAGCTCCCTCACAAAGTGCTGAGATTACATGTGTGAGCCACTGTGTATGGCCTAGAATAGTTTTCTTAGCCCTAAACTTTAGGAAAATATATGTCTGATTCTTTTACTATTATAAGCAACACTGCTTTAACCTTCTTGAACAAATTACTCTTTGGGATAATAAGTGATGGAAATATTTTCTTGGGATATATTTTTAAAAGTGGGTTGTTAAAATTAAAAGAAATTTTATTTTTCTGTTTACATAGTCTCGTATTTCTTTCCATAACAATTGAAAAATCATTATGAAAAATATGAATGTACTTTTATCTTTTAGATTCAGTGTCTCATTGGCACTGAATTTTATTATTTGTTAAAGTTGACTAAGGAAGCTTTAAAATGTGTATAATTTAAATATACCCATAGGAAATAGCAAAAATACCTGGAGGAATTTGATTGGATATCTTTGGTCATAAATCCATAAAAGGCCTCAAAGCTATTTCCTTCCCAATGTACCTCTCCTCTGTGAGTTCTTCTAAACTAATTTTGTGGTAATTTAAAAAAATTATCTAAAGTTAAAAGAATGCTAGAAAAGTTCAACTTAAACATTGGCTCTAGATCTAAGTTGGTATAGACCAGCAAAATTGACTGACCAACAATGAATAGGGGTTCAGTGTAAGGATAGCTGTGTTTGGGGGATCCCTGTAGGAAGGAAAAATGTTTCCAGCATTCAAAAGTAATATACCAGGGCAGAATATCAGCAGGACTTTGGATTTCTTCATAGCTTTGAAGTAAGCAAGAAAAAATGGAGACAGTCAATCTGACCCATGTGCTTCCTCGTCTGATGACCTGGGCTGAATTCATGGATATTGCCAGCTATAGAGTTAAAAATTACAGAGTTTCTCTGATGGTAATGAGATAGACTCTCCTTAAATATAAAAATATAATCATATCCTAATGTCACAACATGTCTTCATATTGATTTTTAAATCTTCAAACACTGGTCAAGCCCATTGTCTCACTCAAAGAGCACTCAGCTATTTCTGTTTATTGCTAAAGATTTAGTTTATGCAAAGAACAGTGTTTACCTTGTAGATATTCTTGAGGATATGAGAGCCCTCTAGCAAACATTTTAAATGTGCATTTTTAAAAAAACAAATTATGAAACATTATAATCTTAAACATTTCCAAATGATTAAATTTGATTCTGGATCTCATGGATGATCCCCTTATAACTGAATACAACCATGCAATTTCAGAGCCCTTGTTTTTTGTATTTATCATTGCATTGGTGTGGTATTACCCTGTCAGACCTTAATGAGAAAACTCTTGCAGCTGAATAAAAAGACAACTCAATTACAAAATGGCCAAATAATTTGAATATACATTTCTTCAAAGAAGGTATACATGGCTAATAAGCAAATAAAAAGTTGCTCAACATCCGTAATCCTTAGATAAACACAAATCAAAACCACCTAAGATACCATTTCACACCCACAGGGATGGCCACAATCAGAAAGTCAGTATCACAATATCAAGTCTTGGTGAGAAAAAAGAAAAATTAGTATCCTCATACATTGCTGGTGGGAATGTAAATGTGCAATTATTTTGGAAAACAGTTGGTCAATTTCATTCCTAGTTGAGCAGTTTCACTAGTAGATCCACCCTTCCATGACCAAAACACCTCCTACTAGGCTCCACATCCAAGAGAACTGAAAACATTTTTACACAAAAACTTGCGCTCACATGTTCATCACAGCATTATTTATAGTAGCTCAAAGGCAGAAACAACCCAAATATCCATTAATTAATTATAAATGAAAGGTATATGATCCCATCCACAAAATAAAACATTATTCAGGTATAAACAGGGATTAAATACTGGCACAGATTACAACATAAACCTTGAAAAATTATGCTAAGTGAAGGTGCCAGACCCATAGGCCCACATATTTTATGATTCCATTTACATAAAATGTTCAGAATAGGAAAATCTATACAGAAAATAATTTAATAATTGTGAACCTACTGACTGGTGGGGAAGAGTGTGGGGCATTGCTATAAAGGAATGCCTAGGCTGCGTAATTTATAAAGAAAAGAGGATTTTTTACTTACAGTTCTACAGGCTATACAAGAAGCATGGGACCAGCCTCTGCTTCTGTTGAGGGCTTCAGGAAACTTCCATTCCTGGTGGAGGGCGAAGGAAAGCAGATTTCACGTGGCAAGAGAAAAGGAAATAGAGGAGGGAGGTGCCAGCAGGCTCTTTTTAACAACTAGTTCTCATGGGACTAAGTGAGAACTCACTGATTTCAATAAGAATGGCATCAAGCCATTCATGAGGGGTCCACCCCTCCATGACCAAAACACCCCCTACTGGGCCCCACCTCTAACACTGGGGGTCAAATTTTAACATGAGATTTTGAGGGTTCAAATATCTAAACTATATTAACTGTGTAATGGGTGTGGGATTTCTTTTTGGTATGATGAAAACATTCTGGAATTAATAATAATGGCTGCAGAAGTTTGTGAATATACTAAAAGCCACTGCTGAACCATACCCTTCAAAAGGATAAACTGTATAGTATGTGAATTAAATCCCAATAACAAAGAAAATTAGTGATCAGGAATGTCTTTAAAAAAAACTTGAGGAGAACGATCCAAGATGGCCGATCGCTAACATCCCGGGATTGCAGCTCTCAGGGAAGGCGCGGAGAACTAGAGGACGCCACACTTTCAGACAAAGTCTGGTCGCTCACGGAGCAGAAGATCCCCCAGTGGTGGAAACACACGAGTCGCCAGCGCGACTCTCGTGGTCGGCGCAGCGGTTCCGCCGGCACCTCGGCGCGGCAGCGCTCGGCGCAGAGTAAACGGGACCGGTTCCCCTTCTGACCGAGGTTTGGAGCCCCGGGAAGGCAGAGTCGCCTACTACGGACACAAGAAGGAAGCCAGACAGGAGAATCCTGGGCAGAAAAGCACCATCAGTTTTAACGCCGCTGCTCTGGTCCTGGGAACTAACAACCTGGACATCCACTCAAGAGACCTAATCTTAAAGTTGGTAAATTCAAAGACGACAGGAGGATAAATTTACAATGACGGGAAGAAACCAGCGTAAAAAAGCTGAGAATACTCAAAGTCAGAACGCCTCTCCCTCTAAAGATGATCACAGTTCCACATCAACAATGGAACAAGGCTTGATGGAGAACGAGCACCTCCTGATGACAGAATCACTCTTCAAGGAATGGATAATAACAAACTTCGGTGAGTTAAAAGAACACGTTGTAGCCCAACGTAAAGAAACTAGGAACTTTGAAAAAAGGTTTGGTGAAATCCTGTTGAGAATAGACAACTTAGAGAGGAGTATGAGTGAATTAATGGAACTGAAGAATACAATACAGGAACTCCGAGAAGTATGCACAGGTTTAAACAATCGAATTGTTCAAGCAGAAGAAGGGATATCAGAGGTCAAAGTCCAACTTAATGAAATAAAACGTGAAGAAAAGATTAGAGAAAAAAGGATAAAAAGGAACGAGCAAAGTCTCCAAGAAATGTGGGACTATGTGAAAAGACCAAATTTACTTTTGATAGGTGTACCTGAATGCGATGGAGAGAATGAATCCAAGCTGGAAAATACCCTTCAGGATATTATTCAGGAAAATTTTCCTAAACTAGCAAAGCAGGTCAACATTCAACCCCAGGTAATACAGAGAACACCACAAAGATATTCCGCAAGAAGAGCAACCCCAAGGCACATAATCGTTAGATTCACCAGGGTTGAAACGAAGGAGAGGATACTAAGGGCAGCCAGAGAGAAAGGTTGGATAACCCACAAAGGCAAGCCTATCAGACTTACAGCAGATCTCTCGGCAGAAACTCTACAGGCCAGAAGAGAGTGGGGGCCAATATTCAACATCCTCAAAGAACAGAACCTTCAGCCCAGAATTTCATATCCAGCCAAACTAAGCTTCACAACTGAAGGAAAAATAAAATCTTTTATGAACAAGCAAGAACTCAGAGATTTTATTACCACCAGGCCTGCTTTACAAGAGCTTCTGAAAGAAGCATTAAACACAGAAAGAAACAACCAGTATTAGCCTTTCTAAAAATACACCAAAAAGTAAAGAGCACCAACATAAAGAAGAATTTACACCAACAAATGGATAAAACAGCCAGTCAACATCAAATGGCAGTAACCCTAAATTTAAATTGACTAAATTCCCAATCAAAAGACACAGCCAAAACCCAACGGCATGTTACATCCAGACCTGTTTCACATGCAAGGATACACAAAGACTCAAAACAAAGGGATGGAGAAAGATTTACCAACCAAATGGAGAGCAAAAATAAATAATAAATAAATAAAAAGCAGGAGTTGCAATTCTTGTATCGGATAAAATAGATTTTAAAGCAACAAAGATATAGTGGTAAAAGGATCAATGCAACAGCAAGAGCTAACGATCCTAACACCCAGATAGGAGACTTAGATTCAATGAGACAGAAAATTAATAAGTATATCAAGGACTCGAACTCAGATCCAGAACAAATGAACTTAATAAATATTCATAGAGCTCTCCACTTCAAATACACAAAATATACATTCTTGTCAATACCACATCACACCTACCCATTAGTTTAAATGAAACATTGATTGGCCATTATTAATACCCAATTTTTTTCAAAATAAAGCAATATTTCCATTTACTCTCCCTCTTTCTCTTCCTCTTTCTTCCTCTCCTTTACTTATTATTATTTTTTTCTTTCCTTCTCTCAAAAAAAAAAAGAAATCAACTTGTAAACCTCTAGATCCAGGTCGGCAATGTCTCTTTCATTGCTTGATTTCCTTTCTTCCCTTCCCTCCCTCCCTCCCTCCCTCCCTCCCCGCTTCCTCCCTTCCTCCCCGCTTCCTCCCTTCCCTCCTTCCTTCCTTCATCCCTTCCTTCCTCCCTACCGTCCTTCTTCCCTTCCTTCCTGCCTTCCTCCCCCCCCCCAAAAAAAAAAACTTGAGAGAATAGATGTAGACTTAATTTGTAACAAGCCATTCCCTTAAAGTGAAGACCGAATGACATTAATTTGTTCTGTACCGAAACCTATTTAGCACTTGACAGAAGAGAAAAAGAAGTATTGGGAGAAATTAGTCACTATACAGCTTTTTTTTTTTTTGAGCCGGAGTCTTGCTCTGTCACCAGGCTGGAGTGCAGTGGCGCAATCTCGGCTCACTGCAACCTCCGCTCACTGCAACCTCCGCCTCCCGGGTTCAAGCGATTCTT